GGGAGGGGGGGGGGGCAAATTCATATCGTTTCTTCTCTCCCTATTTCGAGAAATCACGTCGATTTTCTCTCTTTATCACTCGCGCTGCATCCATCTAGCCCACAGCGCGCACCGTGCTGCAGGTGTCACGCCGTGCGCCCTGACCCCTGACCTCTGACCCCGAGCGTCACGCCCGTGACCCCCCCGGTGTTTACATTGCAGCCGGGCGAGAGAATCGGGAGGCATATACCATAAACGTGAAATCTAACAACGCACCTGAGCAGGCCGAGGAACTAGGCAGGGGAGAGAGAGGAGAGGGGGGGCAGAGCCGTGAACCGCCACGCCCCACCACGCCCCGCCACGCCCCGCCACACCCTCGGCTCAGCGGCAACAACGGAGCAGACACCTCGCGTGACTGAGATGAGAAATAAAGCAGATCGGGAGGGAGGAGGAGGAGGGAGAGGACGATGAACAAGGAGGAAGAATCTCCGAGGGGGGGATTGGAGAGGGGTGGGGTGGGGCGTGACCAGTCAGACGCGAGACAGACAGGCCCGTGTGTTCCTAACTAGAGGCGGCCGGGCCGGCCCGGGCCGGGCTGCTCCCCCGGAGGGCGCTGCGCCGCGCCTCGGAGAGGAGGTACCAACCAACCTGGCCCGGTACCCCCCCTCCCCCCCTCTTCCCCCCCTTTCCCCTTCGATGCCGAGCCCGAGCCGAGAGGCGGAGCGGAGGCCCCCGCGGCTCACATCATCGGGGCGTACAAGGCGATAATCTAACGCCCACGACCAGCAGCAGCTGAGAAACAATGCCCGCCCCTTCCAGCTGCCCCGCCCCGGCGGGTCCTCCACGCGGTCCTGTGCATAGTAGGTCGGCCAGGCTCCCCCCACACACACACTCGACTACCCTCACATCCACTCCCCGCTCACCAACTCGTGTGTGAGTGGTTAGTGACGCCAGGCAACCCTTTCACTGGGGTCATGCCTGCACAGCCAAGGGTTGATAACTTCCCAAATTTTCCGTAAAATTTCCGAAAACTTTCCGAAAATATATGGATCTGGGAAATTTTCCTTTTTTTTCCCTGAAATTTTCCGTCTTTTCCAGAAAATTTCTGAAAATTTTCCGGAAACTTTCCAGAGCTTCCAGCCCTAGCCCAGCCTGTAGTTGTAAACTCTAACGTGCAGGAAGTCGGGAATCGCCAAGGAAGCACAGCACGGGGCGCATCTTTGAATACGGTCCAGCGTAGTCGCGCGCGCGGGATCGCATGCATATGCATATTCCGGCAGATTCGCCAGGGATGCAGCGGCGATAGCGTCGAAGGACGTCGAAAGGCTGTTGTTATGAGAGGGTAGACCGGTCTAAACGGGATTGAGAAAAAAGCGGGGTCGTAAGTACCCCCTCTCCCCATCCCTTCTTCTCGTGCCAAAGCTTTGCCAACGCCCTCCTCCCTCCGGACCTCGCGTCCCCGCTGCCGATGGCGCTACTGTTGTGGTGCCCCCCCCCC